AAAAACTAATTATAGAATCTTCCTAGAAGGCATTTAGTAAAACTAATCAGTTAGAGGAAGAGATCCCAGCACTGGAATCCAGTTCCTGGTAGAACCTGCCCTTCCACCAATGGGATTCAGCCCGAACCATTAAGAAGTGATGCGTGAAACTTCTTACGGGAGATGGAAGTCTTTAGTGATCAGAGAAGATGAATGACTCAGAAGCACAAGTGCTAAAGTTTGCATTTATTTTCATGGTGAAAATAGGAAGGGAAGAAATGTCAAGGAGAGAACATCATGAAGGAAAAAATGCTTACCATCAAGATTAAAGCAATGGTGTGCAAAAAGAAAACTGTGGCGATGTGCACAGCTAAGAATGGGTGCTTGTGAGTGTGAGCCTGGACTCAGCTGCATGACTTTTCCCAGTAGAAAGGCTCATAAATCATTTTAATTTCATCTCACCCATCTTACGTAAGTATTTTCTTCTGCAGAAAGAACTGATAGAAGAGCACTATTTAGCCAGCGAACAAGTGGAAGGCCGGCACTGCTGATCAGCCAGTCTCCCTTCCATAGGACTTTGTCCTCCCTTCCTTATCCTATAATTGTTCATATAAACAAAGACATATTTCCATTTAGCAAAATGCCCATTGCTCTCAGTAGGCTGGAGTAAGGAGGTTACTGCTGCATACAGCTAACCTCCTGCAGCAGAGAAAGACATTGAAAACGTGGCCTTTACTCTGTGCGTTTCCTGGAGGGAAGGCAATGGAACAGGAATTCAGATAAGAAACCTAACTGTTGCTGTTCTTCATATTCTGTGAAGTGTATTAATGGGGATAACAATACACATCAGACATCCTATTCAGTAACATTTTTAGTACACAAACGGGTCCAAATATAAACTATAATGACATATGGAGACTGCCTTAATAGCCATTTCAAATCAATTTAGTTTTATGTAGTGTCTCTCAAAGTATCTCAAGGTGGTGGCTTTGCAGTGACAAAGAAAATAATGGGCTAGTGATTTAGTGGGGTTAGGCATGGTGGCTTTCAAAAGGAAGGCAAAGATGTTGCAGTCAGATGCACAGCTCTAATCCGAGAGCAGCACAAAGGTAAACGTATCCCTTCACTCTTGCACTACCAGAAGAAGCCTGGTAATGAAGACATGCTGGGTTCAGTTAAACTGAACCGTTCCACGAAGCACAGAGAGCTTTTCCATTTGCAGACAGAACTGGAACCTAAATCTGAAACATTCTCACTCAACTGCTGAGATTAGGAAAAGCCAGGAAATAAATATTTGTGACCAATTCATTTTAGCAGTTTTACCATTATATTTCACAACCTCAGAAATTTTAGACTTCCTGTGGGTTGGACTTTTGCCCTACAGGCTTATTAAGTCAAAAAGGCAGCTTTAAGTGCCTTTTTCATGGAAACTGTTAAAGCTTCTCTTGAAGAAGCAGGATTCCAGTCAAGAAATCTCGATGTTATGCGACCACCGTGCTGCTCCTGTGAAGTAAAGATGGCCAGTAGATGAGTGTCCCCTCAGATCAAGGCATGGAAGTGACACACACCTCGTGGGACATAGCACTCCTGTTGATGAGGCCCTCTCACCAGCGCTTATCCCCAGAGGGCCCTGAGGAGTGGCCAGCTCAAAGTGGGACCTCCTGGGAGAAACAAGTCAGTGCTTCTTCAGAGCATGTGTCTAGATGGCTGGTATCTTCACCCACCCCTTCCATGAGTTTTCTGTCTCCTGCTTACCATTCAGGTCAAGCTGCTCAGGAGCCATGGAAAAGCTTCTGTTTTGGCATTGTAAGTGAGACAATCACACGCAGCTCTTACATTTCCCTCCCATCAAATATTTCAGAAGGGGCTGCTGGATATGGGTGTTTCAACATACTTTTGGCAAGAGGGCGCATTGATGTCTTCCTATGGAAGAAGTAGGGATTTACTTCCTCTTTTTCCCAGATGAGAATCAGAGATCCTACGTGCCATTTCTGCTAGAGGCTTAAACCACCCATTTTCCCTTCCAGGTGCTAGGCCATGCTCAGAATTTGTCATTGCTGTTGCCTGTAAGCCAGGGAGCCATGGAAGCGTTACCCACACACGCCATCCTTGGCCTCAGCTGCAACAAAAGGCTGTTAGATGTCTTCTCAGCTGCCTCAGTGAGTGCTCAGGGGCTGCTCAGGATGTTAAAGCTGCATAGAGCCTGATCTGTGATGATCTGAAACGGTGTCTCCCCCTCAGCTCTCTGGATGAGCTCTGAGCTCCTTCAGTTGCCTCAGGGCTGATGCTGAACGCTCTCGCTAGAGCTCTCTATGCAGGCATTCACTGCTCCCACACACCCAAGTTTGCCAACTGTTGCACAGCGTAGTAACATCTCACAGTGCCTGTGAGTCACATGAGGTTGTAAGAACTGATGTGATGTCTGTTCTTCTGGGGAAATGTTTTCCTTTCCTTTCTGCTGTACAAGTATTATATGCTTTACTAAATAAAGTGCATGTTCCCTATGCAAATGAATACATTTTGGAATGAGGATATACTGACACATTATATGTTAAATATGCATGACATTTAAAAACCCAAGAGCTAAAAATCTTTTATAAATATTAAAGAGCATGAAGTCTACTTTTTATTTTGATTTTATTTCTGATCTTGCACTCTGGGAAAAATACTATTTATATTATAAGACTGAATTATCTGTCCAAGAGCCAAACCTATAATTTTATTCTATCAGTCAAGCTGTATGTCACACTATTTTTATGTCAAGACAATAAGGTTCTTTGAAGTACAGACACACACCTATTTGAAAGAAACTTCTGCTCTGAAAGCAGAAGGCTTTGGAATCAGTGGCTCTTTGTATCTTTCGAGGCAATGACAGCTAAATGGAGAAATGCAGCAGTGCAGCACCTAATGAAAAGAGGGTTTCTTTGCCGGCCAGGACCATATTCCATTAGGACATTTGGGTCCAGATTAACCTCTGCATGCATCTAACCTGATTTTGAATCACTTACCTTTAGTGGCTTAAAGTCCATCCTTTGGAGGTTCCTACTTCTCTTTCTATGCTAGAAGAGAGAGCAGGCCACCTCAACTCCTAATGCGAGTGTCTAAGGTAAGTAACCACAATGAAAAGAAAGAAATCCAGACCTTGCTGAAGATATTTTAAGTAATTATTGTGGGACCTTTGTTAGAAAAATTATCAGTCAGCTCATTGTTATGGCGTAGCCAATATTACCTCTAGGAAATGTTCTCTACCACCTGTAGAATGGCTTACACACTTCTCTAGGAAGAACTGTTTAAGAAAGAAAGTGCAGTGAGACCAATGTTGACATTAAAGCTTAACCAGCACAGTTTTAGTTTACAACAGAAGGCACATAGCTTTGTGTTTCCTTCTGTCCTAAGACCTTAACATAATCCGAAGACATCATAAGTTTCAGAACAGACCACATCCATTTTTCACACTGAAAAATCAGGTATGCAAGTCAAATAAAAAGTGTACAGCATTGCAGAGAAGGGAAACTCTAGTTCTAGAGTCCCAGTATTTGCCTTCCTGCAACACTATTTTTCCTGATGAAGACAAAACTGCTCTCAGCTTGGACCTCACTGACCTCACTAAACTATTCCATGTGCTTCTGCTGCACTATGGGGCTGCAAGTAAAGTAACAGATATGGCAGAGTGCAATGGGACATCAGTGAAGAGTGGCATCTGGAACTAAAGAGTGGCACTTAGCTGGAACTAAAAAGCACTGTCCTCTCACTTCCCTGTTCCTGATACCAGCAAAATGCCCCTCTCCATTTCCAGATCAGGACTAGAGCAGTAGGAAAAATTTCCTTATGTATTTGCCCTTCTTTCCTCTGTTGATAGGAATTTAAAGACAAACAGTCGCCTCAGTGGATGGAAAACAGTAGAACTTCATGCCCTTAATGAATGGGCAGCAGGAACTCACCCTGGTAGTGCTAAATGGCCGCACATGAAGCTAGCCAGGCCCAGGAAATGAAACCAGATCCCCAAATGCAGTCTGAGATAACTGAAAGTATGCACTGAAATTTACGGTAGGAAAATGACTGACTGGAAAAAAAAAAGGTCTGCTCTGCTCCTGCATCTCCAAAACATTTTGTACCATTTTAACACTTTAGAAAGATATCTGCCAAAAGTTCTTTTTCCTGAAGGTCGAATGTATTGCTCTTGTAAAAAAGATGAAGCAGCAGTTGTATGTCTTGGTTACTCCTATGAAAGCGACTTAGGAAAAATCCTAGGATTGTTCATATGTTGAATTTTGATGTTTATTGCTTTCTGGCAGTGACTTTAAAGCAAAGGTTAAACCTGGTCGGCAAATGATCCAGCCTCCTGCTCAAAAGGGTTAGTGCCAGTGCTGTCCAGTATTGCTGCTGCAATCTGTACTTCTGTTCAGAGTGCCACCCTGTGGACACGGTTGCTACCACGAGCTCCTTTGGACAGCCCAGTGGTGCAACAGTCAGGAGCTGACAGCAGTGGAAACCAACTGGTGGTGTCACCATCAGCTCCAAGACACACAGTGTCAATTTCAATCTTGCAAGCTTTTGGTTACCTTGGGGCAAATTTGTGTAGGAAGAATGTAAGTTTTTGTACCAACATACAACATCTGTTACCAAAATCCATCTTTGCTGGTGCTTCCTACCCAGCAGTATATGAAACACCACAAATTTGAACAGAATAGGAAACTACCAGTTGATAAAGTTGTGAAGGTGTCCTGCACTGCAGCATGGATGCAGAGCTTTGCACGTGGACAAGAGAACAGAGAAGCCCCTTCTCATCATAGATGACTTAAGCCTCTAGTAAGCACAAGTTCATTCTTAAAAGCCAAGATTAAACAGATTAAAATACAATTTTCTTTCTGTTTGTATAAGACTTGCAAGTTTATACACTGGAGATTGCCATCATAAATTTTAGGGCTCTAAAATTATATTAGAAAGCCTAGAACAACCTTGTTTAGCAAAGGTGTGCCTTGCAGCATTCTTTCAGTAACACCACTTTGGCTGCCCCTTACCTCTGGGGTGAGGTATTTCATCATGATTTCCTTTCCCTTCTCTCCCAGCTTTTCATCTGGAGCAATTTCATACTCTGCCTGGAACAGATATAAAGAAATTGTCAATATTTGCACTCGTATTTCACTATCATAACTTCATTTTGGATGTGGTCTTACCCAAACGTTCTGTCTGAAGAATCTGGAGAATAAAAACAGTTTTTTGATGGAAGTAAAACCTGTACACAGAAACTGTCCAAAAATCTTCCACAATATTTTGAACAAACCCTGGTGATTTGTTTTCTGAGATTATATCTCTTCATTAATACCAATACAATTTAATTCCTTTATATTTTACAGCCTTGCCAAGACAATGTTCAGAAAGTAACCAGAGACAGTAACTCCCTGGGTCTTGCTTAAAGAAAAAAAAAGAGGATACAAAAGGTAATTTTTTTCTCTCAGTAGTAGAGAAAGCAAGTTTTTGGTTAATTCTTGCCACACTGGCATTTCAAGCACCAGATGAACTCCTTCGCTAGGCTGCCTGATTGGAAGAACGGGTCTTCTCTATTTATTTACATCTTCCCTTGGCCTAGCATCCCTTCTACCGTGCCATGAGACTTGCCCATCACTTTTAGTGATCCTCCAGCCAGACTCTCACGAAGGCAGATCTGAGAGCCATTTTTTTTAGGCTGATTTCTCAGGATGCAGATAAAAACAAGAGAGGAAACAGCATAAGAAACAAACATTACTGGTGCATTATGAAGACATGAATCACTTTAGTAAAAGTTTTGGAATCATGGAAGGCATTCAAATTAAAAACATGCTGCATAGAGTCCCAGTTACAAAATGATAACGACAACTTTGTAGAGGCATTCCAACTTGGCACTGCCCGAGGTACAAAGATTTAGCCTTAGGATCAAAAGATTTTCCAGGAAAAAAAAGTCAGCCTAGCACTTTTCATGACTGCTTGTATTAGAAAAAGGATCCCAGATAATCCTGCCAAACCAATTAAGTAACCTGGTCCAATACAAGCTGTTTGAGATGATAAATGAGGAGGAAGTTAAAAAAAAGAAAGTAAATCAGATTGAACTGGCAAACACACAGAAGTACAAACTTCAGAACTATTGCCCACTCAAAGATGTATGTACTGCTCTGACTGTGATACAGTAAATCTGAAGGAAGGAAGGCTGCAATGGATTCCCAATGTAAGCAGACCCAGGAATGACACGAAAACCACAGCGCAGTAATAATGCTACTACCCACCTACCTGGACAGTGCTGATTTAGCTACTGCAGCTTAAGTCTAAAGCTATGTACTTAAACACGTACACAGCAGGTCGCCTGAACAGTTTAGAAAGACGATCTGATTTGTTTTGGGAAGTGACAGGGACTGCAAAGAACCCAGACAAATCTGTACTGCTGATGACAAATGCACTGAAAGCTGAAATCTGCAAGAGCAGTGCTTCTCTTTCAGTGGCCATTTTGGGGATGAACCAATTATGTACCCACAAAACGTATTACAAGGGTTTAAAAAGACATCTTTCATCCACTTTCCTGTCCTTTTAGATGCTATCTAAATATGGGTTGTTTCAGCCCTGTAAGCATGGATAATCTCAAATGTTTACAGCATCTTAACAGCAGTCTTCTCCACAATTCCTTGCTACAGCATAAAGCAGTGGCAAGGGTAACATAAGGAACAGTTTCTTAAAAGGTCAGAGTTGCATCTTACTTTGCCCCTTACAGTTTGTGGTTAGGTCCACACACAGACCAGGAGTTTTTCATCTGAAAGAAAACCAAAGCAATGTATTTTAAGGAAAAAGAATCTATCTAAACAAAACCTTTTGCACAGAAGACTGCCAAACAAAGAGCTCTTTGGCACTGCCTTGTCATGGAAGTGACTAGGAGAACCAGTGAGTCCTCAGAGCAGTGCTATTTACAGATTGACTGATAATAACTGCTTCTTTCTCCTTCAGTTGCTTTCAGATTCTGAATACTCTACCACACTTTTCTGAAAAGGCCAAAAGAAGCTGGGCTCACAGATTTCCTAATGGATCTGTCTCCATTATCAAACATTGGTCATCACATCAGCTCGAGACCTGCAGGATGGTGACTTGGAATATCAAATATTCACTTATACATGGTAAGTGCCTGGCAACTATCAGTGCCTCCTTTTGGAGCTGGATTGGTGAAATAAAGAATGATTGTGCTTTGAAAGTTAAATATTAAGACATGTAAGCCAAGATCTTAGCTTATATCAGTGGAGAAATGTGAATTTCTCAAACAGGTAATAATTTGGATGCAGAATCTCATGCATTTGGTCTGATCCGTAATAGCTATGTCCTCTTACTGATACGTGTGAAAGTGCTTCAGTAATCTCTTGACAGAATGTTTTCTTGAAGATGTTGTTTGGCCACACAACTCTCTGACAACAGCAAGGATTTATGTCAGGAATGCAAATGGTACAACTAATGCATTTTTCTACACAAAAGTAAATTTTCCACAAAGTTGCTAGCTTTCTCTTCATTACATCCACTAGAGAATATGTAGACTCCAGAAAAGCAACACCTGATACAAATCACAGTACACAGTTTGCTTGGGACTAGCAGATCCTGCTAGAAAATATTAATTTTCTAGTAAATAAAAACTGATTCAGAGTTGTCCTTTGCCACCTAAAATACATCATAAGGTTGTCAAAAATTCAGTGTCCCATCAGAACTATAAAACAATAAGCAAATTGGGACAGAGCTGAAGAAAGAATTTTTGCAGGAATTGGATCAGTGTTTTGAAATACACTTCCTGATGGGATTCGACATGTGCAGAACTAAACACACACACACAGAGTATCTAAGATAATTGGGAAGGGATAAAAAGAACATTTATTTATACTTGCATTTGACATTCTCAGAAAATGCTACGGGATGGTGGTGAAGGTAGGAAGTGACAGACAAGGGAAGGTGTGAAAAGGAACTGTAACTGTGAACAGTGTTGATTTCACTGTGGCTCAAGTACTGTAAGCCTGCTTCATTTTGTTTCTGCGTTCATTATTATTTCTCCCCTTGGTGCCACTTTTGAGCCACTTGGCACCACAAGACAGTGGTGCACTTTCAGCCACAGACTGCTACTGCAAGCAGAATTACACACATAAAGAGTCACTTCCTCATGTTCCCTCTCTTGCATGCCTGGGAAAAATACCAATATCCTTGACTCTCAATCTTGTGCTTAAATCACAAGATTCATTCCCTTCTTCCACAATACTCAAAAGCATAGCTAAAATTTGCAAATGCCTAATTGCTAGAAATAACATTATTAGTTAAAATCCATGTGAAACAAAATATTTTCCATTATTCCTTTGATGAATCCAGGCATGTGTTTCAAAGCTCCTGCTCTGAAGTCTAATAGCTTCTCCATGCCCTAGTTAGGTCAGACAGGGCCCTATTCATTGCTCATAAATGAGGAGAGGATTTACAATCACCCTGACCACATGGGACAAGCCGCAGGGAAGGCTCTCTCTGCAGACAGGCATGGATCCTTCCGTCGAAATAGCGAGAGGATGTGGGCTCACTGCCGTTTGTTGCTAACTGGTCCTTCGGCTGCTGTTCTGGAGGTAGTTATTCAGGCGGCTCCTGCTTCCCTCGAAGGAACCCTAGCTAAATATACACATGGGTGTGTAAAGTGCTGTCCTGCAGCAGCCATCCTTGGGATGGGCCACAGGAGATGGGATGGGGAAATGTGATGGTAACCTCCTTTGTGATAAGGCCATGACCTCAGGGATGACCAAGAAAGGGCTGGATAGAGACTGCAACCAACAGACAAGATTAAGCATTGGGCGAAAAAGAGCACTTTGGATGAAACTGGCTGAGTCACCAAGACCGGTGGGGCTCACGTGAGCAGCCTTATTTCTGACATTGCCTTTACTTTCATCTTAACATTCTTTGGCTTCCTGAAACTGTGTGGTTTAAAACTATGTGTAAAATGAAAAACAGAGCCTAAGGAATCACTCTGGATGCAGGCAGACTGTCCCTCACAGCAGGCATCTGCCAGTTGCCTGGCTGGGTAGAGCACAGCTGCGGGAGTCAGTCCCCTGTACCTGCCAGGAGATGGGCATTGGAAGGATGCTTCTGGAAGAGCAGGGTTGGTTTCTCAGTACAAGTCAGGAGCAGTAGAGTCAAATCCTGAGCACAGGCAGCAGATTTCATCTTCTGTTTTGGTCCCAGTTTTATACCTATACCTTCTACCAGCTACCTCCTCTGTTATCCTCAACTTCCTAACTGCTGCAGAGCCTGCTTCTTCCACCTTGATCTCTGATTTCTGCCCTGTTATTGCTCCTGTGCTCTAACAATCATCCTTGCACTTGCCTCCACTGAGATTTAAAGTCTGTAACTGAAAATTGGAAAGCACAAAGCAAACAGCTGGGATTCATAATAACTCACATTTCTAAATGAAAAGTTAACTTGAAACCACATTTTTCATGTTAAAGCACAGGACAAAAAAGAATCCTTTTGACTGTTTAAAAACACATTTTGAGTTAATGAGTTTGTTGATATCAACAAACTGGCATTTCTGATGGAAAAAGCCTTGAACAGCTTTAAGACACACATACACAGATGGTTTATACACCATGCAAGGGACTTAACCAAATGAAATCTCTCTAACAGAGACACGTTTTTTACAAATGGCACTAAATGGATGCTCGTTCATCCTGTTACCCCAGATAAGTGTAATGTGTAGTGAAGCATTCAGCTGAAAATTCCACCCAAAGTAATGATAGTGTCTCTCAGCCTCTGCTCCAATGCCTGGATAACACAAGCAGAAACAACCCACAGAGGCACTGGGGCTACTTTTCTCCACGTGTACTTTTATCTGGCTTCAGTGCAAAAAAACAACAGAACATAGGAGAGAAAATAACTCCAGGTTTTGTTCTCCTGGATCAGAATTAGCTATTCTGTGCTCCCAGCTCCCTCCAGTTAGTCTAAACCTGATCCACATTAAAATGTTAGAAATCCTCCCCTGAGAATGAAAAAAGTTCAAAAATGATGAATGGGAGAAGATGAAACAGGAAAGTGGCTCAAGAGACTTGCAGTAAAGTATTCATTACAATAGCACAGCAAAATCAGAGAGCCAGCACCCCTTCTGAGGAGAGGACACCAGCAGGAGGTCCCTGCTGCAAAGCCACCTCCTTGTGCTGTAGGCACAGGCTGGCTGGGAAGGAAATGTACATTGCTAACGGGTTAGCTGCTCACTGATCTGCCTTTCAGCACAGGAAATGTATCCCCCAGCACTTTATTTTAATGGCTGTCTTTCAACAGCTAGAAAGCTCTATGACGTTGTTAAAATATTTGTAAGCACAGCAAAGTGTGCTTTGGAGCTGTGTGTGAATTCTTTGTTAAGGGCTTATGGAGAGCTGATTTAATCATAAAACAGCTCCACGTAATGATAATAGTTTGTTTGAACAGTTCCTTCATCTGAATGGCTACATAAGAGTTCGGTGAACTACTCGTGGGAGATCCTGTTGTTTATGTGCTCAGATGAGCGTGTGATGTGTGTAATCACACATATTCAGAGGCACAAGCTGAAGCCATTGGTTCTTTTTACTGGATATTTTCCTCTTTTGAAGTCATGAAATTGTTTGCACCATATCCATAGTAAGAGATGGCTCTGTCCTTACTGCCTCACTGTGTAGCCTAGGACCACTGTAGTCACTCACACCGACCCCACAGCAGAAGCAGGAGCCTTATCACTTTCATCTTTTAATGTTAGGACCTACTGCCTACAATCATGTATCTTTGTAGCCTATTTTACAACTGACAGGTTGTGGCTAATCACTGGGGAACTGTTCTCAGAAGGCATGCGGGAACTTTCAGTTTCTGAGCACTTTAATCTCAGTTACAAGTAGAAAGTGGCCAAGGTATTAATGAGTTTTAGAGGGAACTAATAGATACACAGCTACACACATGCAGAATGCAACAATACAAATGGTTTTTTCCTTCAGAAAGCCAGCCTGAGTACTGCTAAACAGTACAGGAAACAACAACAACAACAAAACATTACAAAAACAGATGCTGTGAAAATTAGATTTGCAGGAGACTACATCAGACCAGGTTAGTTATTTCAACTGACAGCTGAAATAAATGTCCAGCAGAGAAGAGATTTTTTTCCCATATGCACTCAAGTTTGCACAGTCTGGTTGATGTAACCAGCCTTTGGAGGCAAAGGAGTTGGGAGAGTTCTTGCAAAACTTGGTTGCGTCCTAAGTAAGGAAATGGAGCTTACTGGTAGGCTGCTGGGTGCCTGACTCACCTGGGAGCCCCAGTTCCTGCTTTCCTTGAAGACAACTGAGTTCACAATTAAAAAACAAACAAACAAACAAACAAAAAAAACTATTAAAAATTAGGAGAGATCAATTATGAGCTTCTGCCAGTGACTTACCGAGTGGCCTGGTAAAGTCAGCCAGCTGTGCTTTTACTTCGCCTTCTTTCTGTAAAAGATAGGTTCTTACTTCTCAATTTGCAAAAAGCCCTCTGAGCCTCTGATGGACAACTAAACACATTTCTCTATTATTATTTTTAATTTGATATTACAAAAAAGCTAAGCTTTGCATCTCTCATTATAAATGTAATTAAGCCAAAGAAAGCTTTGGCTTCTTCTGCTCAGAGCTTGTTACAGCAGGTGGCCTCAAAAAAGGTTCCATGTTTCTGGTGGCCTCGGAATTGGGCTTTAAAGTCAAACTTCTGGTTTCATTACGGGACTTTTTGCCTAATCCCACTACTCACTCAACACAGTGTGACTCCACTGGGTGAATTTCAGTAGCCATCACCCAACTTAATGGCTGTGCTGCTAGACCTTAATATTGGATAACGCAGGGATTTTCACAGTCTGGGAGCAAACTTGTTTGGAATTTGAGATCGACAAAGGAGACTGCTGTTAATTAGCTCTAAAAAGAAGAACAAATATTCAGACCTCCACACAGCTCAACGTTTTGTTCACTAAATCAGTGCTTCATGATGGCAGGTACCTGACTAGAAGGTGCTGGTTGGCTGCAATAAGCACCTGGAGCATCCTCCTGTTTTTGCTTGCCTTGAGCATACCTGCACAGATCGGCTGCCAGCAGTAGCTGTCTCATGACCCTTGTGAGCTGAGCCTTCCCACTGAGGAAACTCATGACCAGCACTAGGAATATAAGGTGAACTGTAATCATTCAAAACCTCTTAGAGAAACCTTTCCACGGCTGTGCTGATTTAAAGGTTGCCCTTCTTAGCTTGCAAAAATCTGAGGGTAAATTCTTTGGTTTGTCATTTAAACAATACACTTTCAAACAATACACTTAATGCTGACATGAGGAAATCTCTAACAAGATGATGCATGTATTCTCTGAGGACTATTAGTTTCCAGTCATGCAAGTATTGTCTTCATTGTGAATTTTCTATCACACCCCTCACATCTATCAGTCGAAAAGCACAGTGCTGCAATATATCAAGATATGTGCATGTGGGAAAATACCTCCTTTGGTTTACCTGTGAAACTGATTGTGTACAGTCTTCTGCCACTCAGTGCTGGGTAATCCTATACTCTGGTAAGCACTAAGTGGGGAGTTTTTAACCTACTGCAGGTGTGTTACTCTATCATTTGCTATTCTGGTAGCATAGAGACCTAGTGTCTACTGCAAGTAACAATTTGAGCCAAATCCTGCTGTAAGCCATCTGAAGAAAAGGTCAATTTTACAACACACTGCTACATTTCAGCAGTCTAGGTGCAAAATCAAACTGCAAAATGAGTCCAATGAAAATGTACAGCAAGAGCATTAGGATGTTTTAAATTATGTTAATCAAGTAAAAAGGTTTACAAAAGTTCAAAGATGGCTTTATGAATTGGGACGGTACCAAATATGCCAACTAAAATTGATTATGATGCAACTTTATTCAAAACTTTCTGCAATGCAGATTTGTTGTAGTAGCTGTGGTACTTATGAAAACTGAGAAATTTCCCCTCCCAAACTCTTACCTTTACAACAGTGCAACCTTCGCATCTGCTTCTACTTCAAAATAGCTTAGCCAAAGCAGAAATTAAAAAATAAAATAAAATAAAATAAAATAAAATAAATACATATTCCTGTTGGTATACATTGCTTTGCCTTTGACCAGCTTTTCTCTAGCTGGTATCAGCTAGAGAGCAAAGGCACTTCGTGATGACAACCGGCAGCTCATCTGCCTGCGTGGTGCTTTTGGCTCATCTATGCCCTGTCCTTCAGGAGGCTCCCAGCAAGGAAGCCAGTGAGCATCTTTAAACTGTGAGCAGCTACTGCTGGCACTACACAGAGCCAAACGCTGCCAGATTGGGAATGAACATCAAGTCTGCCCAGGAGGCTGGGGGCACAGCTCAATGGCCGGGTTAGCTGGGAGCTCACTGGGGTGGGAAATGGTGCTGGTTTCTATAGCAGGCTCGTCGCGTTCCTTGGTGACCTCAATCAAAGTCATTTCTATACCTTGTGCGCCTGTTTTCCTATTTGAAAAAACAAGATATCAACCAGGATGTCCTTTGTAAATCACCCTGGAATCTACTGATGGAGAGGCTTGGTAAGAGTGAGGCATTATTACTGTCACACTCCTCATCCCCTCTTGTCAGTCCATTCATCATCTTCCTTTTCTTCCTTCTCTTTGCCTTATAACTCTGCCGACTGCAGTGATATCAGAAGACATTACTCACAACAGCCCAGCTGCTTGTGCTGTGGCCTTAAGCGAGGCTCTGCCTGCACCAGAGAGGGCTGCCTGTCTCCCGCCCCTCCTGATGGCTCGTGTACCTTGAAGCTGGTCCCAAACCTGGGTGCAGCACTGCCCCTTTACTTCCAACAATGCTGGGGAGCTGCTAGGTTCACCCCTGCCAACAGCTTGCTCAGGTCCAGAAGACGCAATCCCACATCCCACGAAAGTATGATTTCCTGAAGTCAGAGCACTGTGCGTGTCAGGAAAGGAGCTACGCAGCAGCACTGCTCTGATCACACACATCTCTGCCAGGGCTGGGTGCAGGTAGAGATCACTGTGTCTTCAGAGCAACGTTTCACTCCTCCTGCTCTGCCAGCAGGGTTCCTCAGCTGGCGGCTGAGGCGTGGGGTGGCAAAGCACTGCAAGATCCCACAAGAAGTGACTTACCACCGAGTCGAGGAATCTAATGCAACACTCGAGCTCCGGGCGGGTTTCACAGAACTGCCGAAAGAGAAGCCTTCCAATCGGCTGCTTTTCACATATGCTGCAGTAATCTCTCTCTAGAGGCAATAAAAAGAAGAGAAGCATGAAAATGAGAAGAGCTTTGCCTTTTGGGCTGGCTAGGAGTTTAAAACACAGCAAGTGAGTGCAGAAAGATGATCCCAAATAGAAATGCTTTCTCCCCACCGCGTTTCAAATCTGCAAGTACAAATGTAATGAATGGTTTAAGTCTCAAACAAGACAGGCTCAGTTTTACAGGGCTGATGTATTTAAAAGCACCACAAAGGCCATTCAGCTATTATTCATGAATAATTTCACGTTTTTCCATGGCGGAATTGCATGTACTCCGCAAAAGTACCACACAGACAGGCAGCATTTGTGGGAAATGTCAAGTCCCTGAAATGTGAGTCATGTATTGAAAAGTGCAGGAGCATTAGAGGAGAAGCTGGAATTTGTGACTTTCCTGGTTCCTTCCAGATATGCTTTAAAGTAATGCATATTTCCTAATCTCTGGAAATGCACAGTTCACTCTCTACTAAACGTTTATTGCAAAATATGTATTTTTAAAGGTTTCAAAATTTTTATTTACTTTCAGAGCACCAACCTGCAGTTGTTGCACACAGCATCTAGCTGACGCCAGTTTCACATTGTGCTCCTCTACAGACGTTTCTTTCTCCATAAATAAACATTGTTAAATGTTGTTCCCCTGCCCTGGGTCCTCCTTGCACCCAGAACCAGCCTCTGCTGAAGCACGAGCTCCCTTACTGTGCAGGAAAAATATGAGAGGGGCTGCCATCATGAACTGGGATTGCAGCAGTACAAACAAGGTGGACGTTTTTGGTGAGAGCAGCAGATCTCTCAGCCTGTTTGGAGTTACAGCACTTGCTGGAGACACGTTATTCCTTTAGAAGCACACACATGTCAAACAACATACTGTGTTTCCTTAAGCGTTCCTCTCACCACCCTCCTCGCTGCCATATGGCAGTTGCTGTTATTATGGAAACAACCAGCTTCTAAACACATAACATCACACTGCAAACAGACATACTAAACCCACACAAGTTGTTGGTGCCTTGGTTACTTCTTTCTCAGGCCTGGAGCTCCTTGCACAATGGCTTTTATTTCCCCTCTGCTTTGTCCCCCACGTTCCAGATCCCACAAGGACAAATTCTGCAGGCACAAGTCTGTTTGTCATGGAGGCACTCAGCCGAAGGGCTCGCTTGGCACAGGCTGCACCCAAAGACCATGCTCTGCAAAGCCAGGACATCCCTCCTGAGAGGAAAATGGACATGTTGGGCTCGCTGGGCTGCATCTGGGTGGCAGTTGGGTTTCACGTGGCAGCCTTATGGCAGGAGCACCCCAAGAGCACTTCTTGTGAGGAAGACCCATGCTGGCATCATGCTCTGCTCACAGGCAACTGCAGTTTCAGAAGGAGACCTCTAAAGCACCCTCATGGTGTGTGGAGATTAGCTGGGGTTAGCTGGATTTTACCTCAGCGTTTTCTGAAGCATTCTAGGACAATTCACCCACACCATTTCGTGACTGGTCCTGCCAGCCCACTTGGGATCAAGATTTCACTCAAGATTTCACTCAATCTAGACAGAAGACTGCAGTGTTTTGGCACTCGCTGGCAAATAGCACTGCATCTAAATCACTGTGTAAATCTTAACTCGACCGCTAGTCAGCAACAAGTCTGGGATACTGGTTTGTTTGCAAGAGGAACAGCATAACACAGACATGCAGCGCCAGAGGCCCAGCATGACACTGAGCAGCCTTGAGCTATCCTTGCAAATGCTGCAAGTTCTCACTGCTTGGCCAAGAGCTCTCAGCAAGAAGGTGAAGGAATATGTAGCCAGGCACAGCACTAAGGCAGGCGAAGGAGGGAGGGAAGTGCTCGAGTGCATCAGAATGCCAGTTCTCAGTGTCTCAAGGGATGGGCAGGAAGCTGGAGCCCAGGTGAGGTACACTGAAGCTCAGGCGATGCAGCTGCATCTACCTGATGCTGCTTTCTGCTGTCATGATTATCTTATTCTTCTGAGGGTACAGAAAAAAACCCACACCCTGATGCTACACGAGCGTGCAAATTGCACTTTGAGTAACTGTACTTACTAACACATAAGGAAAAGAAAACAAGAAGACAAATACAATTGCAGATGTAGATAATCTAAACGCAAAGATGATATGAGCATGAAGTGAGACGATATGCTGCACTTCAGCAGTATCTGATTTGGCCAGCACATGGGAATGGTGACCTGTTTGTAATGAGGAAAAAGGAAATACCAGAAATAATCTCCAAAAACACAAGAGCCAGATCAGTTCCCTGGAGCCATCCACTCCTTGGTAATGTTCATTTAAGTGCTGGATATACCGATACAGACAATAAATACATGATGCAACTGTTTTCATTCCTTGTAGGTGACATACAGTATTTTCTTAGGCCCTAGTTTTGCACTGACCTCACCGACTCAGCTCCAGGATCCTGCTCTCAGCTCATTCTTGGGATGCACAGGGCATAGCATGGACTGAGAAACAAAAACACCTCTCTCAGCTCGCGCAGAAACAGAGTGGATAGCTTTATAGCACAAGGAGCAAAGCATAGCAGAGGTGTTGCTTCAAAGAGGCCCAGCTGAGGCACCCAGAGCCGTGCCGAGGAGCTGCTGCCTGCAGGCAGGGGACAGATGTGGATGGAGGGAGCAGGAATGGTGGATCCCTGGGGTCACGCGCCGTGTCGTGCTCGGCCTGCCTGCCAGCAAAAATATCCCTCCAGTTTCAAAGTTTGAAAAACAGAAAGAATGATTTCCTGAGGAAATGGAAATGTTAAACACTTGGAAGTGAAACCATATGCTTACAATGATGAAGTGTAATGAAAACAGCCCTGAGAGTGATATCTTTGGTAGTTGGACCCTCCTGTTTCAGCAGTATTCTGCTCAACACCTGCAAAGTCACCCAAAATGGGGGTGGAAAGCTGGGTAGCTTGAAGGCTTAGAGAAGCAGCCCCTTCTCACTAATGCCATGTCTTTTGTTTAGAAAATAGAACCGGCAAATCACGCGGGCATGAAAATGAATGATCTTCCTGGCAGAGTAACTAAGCAGATTATATAGATTAAATTGTTTATGAAAAGTTTTTATATAAAAATCATATAATAATTCTAAAGAGAAATAATATTTACTCTAAATTCTACTGACTCATTTCTGCTGTACCTTACAGCTCATGTATTAAAATACTGCTTTAAAGAGCACACAGAACATACCAAAATAGTCACCTCTGTACGCAGATAATGCCATCAGCATTCAAGGTCTATAGCATATCTGTTCCCTAGCAGATATTTTGGTAATGTCCTGAAAAACTCCCAAGCACACAGCTAGGAAGAACAGTCCTGTTAGTACCATTCCATACTGGCTAAGGCACGCTGTTGATGAAGTGGAAAAAGTAAAATGAGGTAAGAAAGAAAGCAGTTGCCAAGAAGTAGCTGACTTTCAAGTAAAAGGGAAAAAAGCTAATATTTCATTTAGATATAAACCTCTCTGTGCTTTCTGAAGACTTTTTGTCTTAATTTGCTTTTTAAATATCTTGCTTTTTCAGAAGACTCAAAATATCACCTTAGCAATTTCAGACAGAAACAATGGTCTGTAGAGAGATCAGGTCCTTCCTCCTCTTTCACATTTGCCATAAATGTGGGTTTTCATAGATATAGCGTTGAGCTTGAAAACTGGGTGACAGCCCTTGGCTGAAAAGCAGTTTCTTCTGACATAATTTCACGTGGTGCAACCTGCAGGTGTCTAAGTGAGAAACCTTTCCTCACACTGCTCTGGGAAGTTGTACTTCTCTTTCTGGACCGAAGCCCTGCTTTTGAAGGGCTGCTGATCCAACACCTGCTATCAGCTGGCAAGGCTTCCTCGTGCATAATGCCTATGAGGTGTGATGTGCTTAAGTTTAACCTCACTTCTGAAGTGTACAAAGGCCAGGAGCATCTTTCCAACCTTTTGGCCATTGCCGGTGTGCCTACTGATGGCACTTATGTACTATCTATCAAGCAGCCTTTTACTTCCATTTTTAAAATACTGGAGTTCCAAGAGAAGGCATTTCAAAGAGATGCATGGAGAATCACCAAGAAGTCATGCATCATGCAAATTTGTTCTTGGCTTCTGGAACTCTTCTCCCATTGGCATTAAATCAGCCTGGACATAATTTGAACGAAATCCAAATTCTGCTGCCTAAAAATAAAAACAAATCAAAACAAACAGAAATTCCTCCCAAGCTCCTGGAAACCCAAAAGGGGGCGTAATGACAATTGTTCTTTATCCTGCTTGCGCTTAAGTCTCTAAAGGACCCGAGAAAAGAGCTCACCTCCCTCTTCCAATTCCTTTTTTAAGTTGAATAAAAATGACAATCTTAGAAATAGAAGCTCCAAGTCCAGTACTCATCTGCTGCTCTGCCTCCAGCCTTCATCAGTCCAGAACAACAAAAAAACACTAAAAAAATGGAAAAAGAGATCCCAAGCTGGACAATAGGAAGCAGTAGCAAAGCCCAAACTGGCAAGTAGACCTTTGCAAGATGGCTGGAACACTAAAAATGAAAATGTCCACGGTGCTGAGGCCTGTCAGAGTGATTCCACCAACCATGGGTTGGTAGAAACTTCAGTAGAGCTGTCTCAAACTTGCAGCATGACTGATGTCTCAGTCCCCATTCAAACTGAGGGGGAATTCCACGAAAGTAGATTCTAACCAACCCAGCCCAAACCTCCAACCAGATCTGTTATTCTTTTGCACATCTCTGCTTTCTACATGTGAGCTCTCTTACAGGGGCATTCGATGGTAAGGAGAACAAAAGCAAGAATGAAAGGCAAGAATAAAAAACATGCTACAGAATCTTACAGCCCATCGTACAGTTTGTGCTTTCAGCAGTTTGATTCTTTTTGCCAAAAAAAAAGACCGCAGCCTTTAAAGTATACAGCAATATTTTGTGTCCAGCTGGGGTACCAATGGAAAACATTGTTTCTTTAAACAGCAAATAACCCCATCTAGAGCTATAGTAATACAAATACATTTGAAGTCAGTAAGTCTAATGCTAGGGCTTATAAATATGTCTTATAATTTACTTCTGCTCTTCTCCAGCTGAAAGTGAAATTACCACTGCCTACATATAAACTTAATAAATAGAACATACTAAAGTGCCTAGTCTTTGAGGCTGATGAAAGTTGCTTCTTATCAAAGACTCCTTTGTGCATGCTTTAAAAGGATTTAACTTGCTTTGATTGCATTATTAACAGTGTCTGTGTTGCTCTTGTATCTCAGAATAAGCTGGAAAGCTGGAACATTAGTTCTAACATTGAACAAAAGTCACTTTGCCATCTATAATAAATTCGTTTCAATACAAAAGATAATCCTTGTGTTCAAAAGCAAGATATTAAGGCTGGCCACGCTAACACTTCTGCACACCCAGTTATTACATTCAGATTTCTCTATATTCGTCACTACAGGAGATCTCACGGCCAGTCAGAACTTCATCAACTTCGTTGGAAACTCAGATATTTTCAGTGAGAAACATGTCAGGTTTCTTTCTTTCAGAAACTGAAAGTTTGGGCCCATTTCTGAGGAAGGAATGTGGATATTGCTCCTCGAACTGCAGCACCTGGCCAACTACAGACGCAGTGACCCAGTGAAGGACTCCGTTGTCGGTGCGACTGCTCAGGCGTGGGAAGAAGCAATGGAAATGAAGTTACTTGTCCTTTCTTGTGTGCTTTTTTGCTGCTCTCTGAGTTTTGGTGCTGTTGTTGCTGATTTGTTGTGTTTTGTTGTGCATATGGAAACCTGTTGTTCGGATGCTGAGGACTCTGCATTTGCTCTGTCTCCAGTGATGTGTTTAAGATGTGAGGCAAGCCAGATGGTTAGAAAATACAAGACAGGAATAAAAATGCCTCATTTTGCTTCATTCAAAAATTCCCAGGAACTGTGGCAGTAAGTCATGTTACAAAAGCCTAATACAAGCAGCTAGACTCCTGTGGGAATTCAGTTACCAGTACAAATTATATTCTGCATCCTGCAGACCTCAGTGGCATGCTGTATTTATAACACGGGGCTAATAGCACTGCCCTACCTCAAAACAGTGTGGCTAGAATAAGTCTATTAAAGTGCGTGAGCCCAGAGTGCTGCTGGATGCCCTGTGGCTCTTTGCTATTTACGTGCGACGCGAAGCCCCGGAGCGGAAAGTTAATCCAGGAGAACACAGCAGAGTCTTTTTATACATTAACTGCTATACTGCTCCATAACTTCACCTGGCACTTCACAGAGATTAAAAATGACGATGCAGCCCCTGTCCTGGAGAGTGTTTGTCTTGGCAGGGCCAGTGCAGCACAGGTGCACGACTGCGATGCCGGAGCCAAGGCTGCGATGAAGCTTCCTGGTGGCAAAAGCGCGCTCCCTCGAACAAGAAATATTTCATCTGCTTTCTCTGTTTTTAATAAAATACGGACGTGTCACACCTTCTGTTAGGATGATGGTTTGACAAATTCCTTGTTTTGAAGAACGGCTCTTCCCAGTTTGTGGCTAAACCCAGCACTTCATAGCTGCAGAAGCTCGAGATCTGCCTAGTAAGCCCTGGGGAAAAATACATTTTTTGGTCTTGGCCCTTGGCTGCTTTTTTTGCCCTTGAATTTCGGATTTTCTATAAGAAACTTGGAGTCCCTCATCTATGCTATCACAGTGAACGTTGTTTTGGCACCAACTATCCAAGTTTAATTAATTAAAAATACAAATGCAATCAAGCTTGTTTAAGACAATGGAATTACCCCAAACTGGTATTAAGCCCTGCCAACTCAATTTTCTCTGCTTGTAGGCTGCTTTTTTAAAAAATAAACAAAATTTAATCTCCTGATCATTGAACATCTAATGTAATTATTCAGATTCAGACAGTGTTTGCTTTGTATAACTCTGCTTATTTCCACTCTTTTCGTGGTATTAGGCTCCAGGGCTGAAGTCCACACATCACAGCAGAATTACACTGAAGATGGAAAGAGTCCAAACCGTAGACTTGGATCAGTATGGAAAAAATGTTTGGAGAATATTGTAACAAATTCACAGCTAAATGCACTTTGGTGATACATACGGATCTGCTCATTTGTTTTTTGAAAGCAGCTGTATTGAAACTTTGCTCACAGAACTTTATTTGAAAGTCAAATTCCGCAAACAGTTGCATAAATATGTTTGCACGAGTATCTGAACCAGAATGCCTATGTGGCTTTGTTGATTTTGGACAAAGCTCTTGGCAGGAAGGATAACAACCCACCCACCCTCTTTGCAGCAGCAGCAGGAGGGTCACACAAGACACTGAGTGCTCAGTGCAGCCACTGCACCTGAAACCAGGAGTGGAGTGCAGAGCCTGAGGGGGACCACAGTAGCTGGGGAGACATTAGGTAAGCCAGCCCTGCTACAGGAGGGAGAACAAATGCTCAGCTCTGACCCTAAGGAATTCTCCAGTGGAAGACAAGTTCTCATCCTAACGGAATCCATTCCCTCCATGCTTGTCAGGAAAACATCCCCACCAGGGGCACATCATTCCAGCCCTCCTCTGAAAGCTCTGCATCATCTAAAACATTCTCATTTAGACAACTGCTTCATTCCCATGTGGCTCACTGAACAAGCCCCGAGTTCCAGTGTAGCCTGCAGATGCTGCTGGGTCAGGAGCCTGTTTGCCTCTAGAAGATGGAGCTTGCTGTTAGTACTGGAGCCGCTTTAAGAGACAGAAGCAGAAATTTATTTTTGCATGAAGTACTGGGTGCAGGGAAAGATAAATAATTGTTACAAGTCATGAAGGTGATGTGAGGCCTGCTGAAGGGGACGGAAAGATTCCCATCAATTCCAGGGGGTCTTTCATCAAGCTTGTCTCTCCCGCCTCTGCCAAACACAGTTTAAATGAATAAAACACTCAGTATGTCTCTCAGTTAGCACGACAGTGGAAATGCATGCACCTTGATTAATGGCCAGGAAATCTGGATTGTGAATGTGCAATGTGAGTATTTTAACATCTTTTTTAAACTGAAATTATTGGGTATCGTGTTCTTCAACACATGCTTTATTTTGCATTTGGCATCCAGTTAGAATAACAGTGCACAGACAGGGAACAGAAAGAAAAAAAGAACACGAAGACTGATAGGCAGGCGGACAGATATCTTCTGCTAAATAAAAAAACGCAAACGACTAGTTAAATCTGGTTGCTGTTCCCATAAGTTACACTCAGAAAGCATGTGCCCCTGGATCAGTGCCTTTGATGAGGTTTGCTGAGCACACTGTCTGAACTGTTGTCTTCGAGGCTGCTCACAACGCTATTCCGGGCGCGGTGGACTTGCAAACCTCTCCATGTGGATCACAGAAGATGCACCAGCACCAAGACTTCCCAGCGCTTGAATGCGGCGTTTGTTCTGCAGCCCCAGGGGAAAGGCTCCTCACACCACCGCTGCGACTACTGTGCTGACCAGAGAGAGAGTTTGTCTTTATCTGCTGCAGCTACTTTCAACAATGTCTCTGCGGCAAGGTCAGAGGAATGGAAAAAATCCCTCAAAGAAATATGAAAGCTCACCTCAGAAGTGCCCTGGGAAACGTGGAGAACAAACACTTGGTTGTTCTCATTTTGTTCTACTTTGGATTGAGATGACAGAACTGGATGGCTTGTACTAAAAGAAGGTAGCTACTGAGATTTTTTTCATTTGAGACTTTTCTGTCCAGTCTTAGAGATTTCGACCGAAATGCCTAACTTATTTTCTGTCTAGTGCTGCTATTTAGACTCCTTTCTGGTGATACTCTGGTAATACGTGTTGAAAGAAAATTTCAGTGAAAGTTGTAATTTGAATGTTCAAGGTTATGAAATCTACAGAACTGTTGCTGTTGTACATAGCACAAAATAAACATCTCGATTCCAGGAAACTGAAGGAGACATCTTGTGAATCGCTTGCTTAAGACGAAAAGACTTCTGCAAAACTACTCTTCGACTCTAAACTAGCCTGGTTAGAAATCGAAGCAGCCATCTAAACTAAACCTTTATCCAGGTCAGTAAAATGGCAGAACATATATAACCACCAGCACAGTCACTCTGCAAATGCATATTTAAGCAGCACACCTTGCTTGCAAGCACATAATAAAGGTATTCACAGAGGTTACTGGCTGTGCGTGCCATTCAATAGTCACTGCAAGGTCTAAACATCTCAGCCCTTTTATTAATGATTCCTTCAACAAAATGCTCGATGTCTTAGTTGTTACTTCACTGCTAAGCTCACTTTTTTTCTCTGAACTTTTCCTCGTGATGTTCTGAAATGCCAAACTTCAAGCACAACAAAACTTCTCAATATTGAGCAGGCAAATTATGTTTGGAAGCGGTTCTCAACCCCAACCTATAAAGAAGGAACATGACTGCACAATAAGCTCCACTGTTAACCTAAATAATCAAAGGGACAATATATATATATAAAAAAATCACTGACTAATGATACGCTGCTAAGTTATCACTGAACTGGGTTTTGTCCTAACTACAGATGTTCTGCTTGCAATAATCCACACACTGATTTTGACCTGCTTTGTATTCCCAGTCTGAGCTGACTGCCTGCTAGATGACAGCCCTGTCTGAGTGGGTGTGAGGGAGCTGAGCTGCTGACTGAAAGTGGAATGAACCGGAAAAGAGATTTTAAAGTCATTTAGAAACCCCAAATGCACCAAGAGAACCTGTGCAACAGGGGATGGCCAATGGAAATTTTTCTCCTCCCTCTTAAAAAAGGTCTTCAGTACTGAGGGTCTCTTTGAACTGTATTTCTCAGATGGATGGAGACAGCATGGCAGCTGGTGTCCACACCCAAGAACTGTGAACAATATTATGCAGGCCTACAAAGAAAATGCAATTTTAGAGAGACCTTCTGATTCATTTTTATTAACAAAATGGGTTGTCATTGGGAAACTAGGCGAGCATTTCTGCAATACTAAAAGCTATTCAAATATTTGTATTTTTTCAGTTTATCTCTGTTTTTCCTATCTTTTTTTGTTTAGTTTCACAGTGTATTATGAATAATGTCATATCCTTATGAAATGGGTTTTTTTTTCCCCAAAACATTTTTTTTCTAAATTTCAACATGCAAATACAAACGTTCTGCAACACAAAATGTTGGTGTTCTCTGCAAAACCAGAAACCCAGGCTATCATCTCCAGAGCTATTGAAAGAATTTTGGAGAACAGAAGACAAATTTAAGCAGACCTCCAAAAAGGGCTGCCCACTTGTGTTTAGAAACTGAAAATATAATCTGAAATTTTACTTCCCAGGTGGAAGGTGATACTTCAACATCCCTCATCCTCTAGATCTGAAGAAACACATCACAGAGTGAGCTCCCTACATGTTCTCCAGCACTTAAACAAGTGCTGGAGCAATCTGTCACTTCGCCAGCAATATTCTGTAGCCCAGCTGCATTGCTTCACTGCCACTTCATTAGTGAGCTTATAGAAGTTCACAAAATACAGGAGTCAACGTTGCCACACGAAATTACATCTCTAGAGATAGGCAGAGTCTCCTATAATGGTGAGCTATAGGAACACTGTGAGAACCATCAGTCTCAGCTAACAGTCAACACCTACACTATTAGCATTGGGGTGCACTGTCTTCTGAGACACAAAGTGAGTCCAGGAACTTTTCTGAAGACAGGGATTTCCTCTTCAGCAGCCACATTAAATGTGCTTCTATGAAAGGAAAAGGGAAAAAGGGATGGAAAAGAAGAGCCGCATGGCTGATCTGAAAGGAAAGCATGTTTGTGCCGACACTGAAACATTAGAGACATTGTTCGAGTGCAGTTCATCCTTGCAAAAATATTATCCTCACTGCGATGCCAAGGCTGGTGAAAGTATGGGCTTCCTGCCATGGAAGTGCTTGGTATTTATGCTAGACTTGTCATGGGGCTTATTTACTCTCTGCGCCCAACATTTCAGACACACTCAAATGTAGTGTTCATGCCTTGGCAAGAACTTCTCATTCATGCATTTTCTCTTGGTCCCTTTGAGGAGTCTTCATTCTCCAATGTTGCAGCGGTTGAAATTTCATTGCTTGCTGAGAAAACCAACACTGATTAATTTCATCCTACTTGCATGGAAGAGGTAAAGTATGCCGGTCTCTAGCCAGGGACAAGGAAATCCCTGCTGCTTACATGCCATATTGAATAAGCAGCCCATGGTTGCAGCCATCAGACTTTAACAGTCTTTATTCCACCCGCAGGAAAAAAGCAATTAACCACAGCATCATGGGAAGCAAACAGGAAGTAATACAACGCATTCACTTTTGATTAGAGAAAATTTTTATAAGGCACAATATGCCACAATGAAGAATTCAGCTGTAGCACTGCACTGACACTCCCCAGATCATTAAAGGAGCATGACTGAGGTTACAAAGTTAAGCCACAAAACCTAGGAACAACCTAAATTAATGTGGCCCATGTAGCCTGAATGCCATTCCTCACTGTGCATGCATTCTGGTACAGTCTTTAATTACATCACTGCAAACTTTTTTTCCCACAGGACCTTTGCCTCATTCAGCACACAGAACGGACAGTGCTTGCTTAATGAGCAGCTATTCAGTATTTCATTTTCTCCTCTGGTTCAATGTGTGGCCCTAGACTTTATGTACTGCGCACTAGCAGGCCTGCTCTGGAGACAGAATGATTCATTTCCCCACGGATCTTTCTGCAGCATTCTCCATGTAGTCTTCAAATACTTTACAACTATTCATGGACCCATTTTCACGTCACCTCTAGGAGAAGATGTCCTTAATCCAATTTTACAGATAGTGAACTTAAATATCTGAAGAGTGAAGTGAGAAGTATTCACTGATTGGTGCAACTTGTTTCTGTGTACTTAACCTTATACACAACTCAATCTGTTCAAAGCCAATCTTCCATTCGCTTCAGCTGCAGATATTAGTATGGATACCCAAAAATCTCAAAGGCAACTACTCAGAAAATGAAAGCTGTACACCTAAAGGCCAACTGTGCAAAACTCATTTTAAGTTACTTGCCTGTCATCACATAAGACCCAGTTTGACCAGAGGGCATCCGTGCCCAGCTCCCCAGCGCGTCACACAGCTGCTCTGCCCATCCAAAATTCCCTTTGCTGCTGGCTCTAACACACTGCCTGCTGGCCTCACCAGCACCTCACACCTGCCTCTCGTGTCTGATTCCTCGCTGGGATTTCCTACTGACAACAGATTTGCAGTTCTTATCTTATTGCTGGTGTTTCCCCTTTCCTCCCTCCTCAGTGGTTTTTTTCCTAGGGTCTCTCTAGATCATGACTCTCCTTTATGGGATCTTTCACTGAAATACACTGAGGTGGCCCCTCTTTCCCTTTTGACTCAGAGGATGTGTAAGCAGATGAATAGCAGCAAAATACAGTTAGACTCTGTGAAATCTTGAGTATTTAGGAGAATAGCTGTGGTGGTGTCATTTCACTTTCAAGACTACAGTGCTTGTTACTTGCTGGACTGATGACCTTTCTTTGTATTTCTCAATGCAGTTTTCAGCCTATTTCTACTAATAAAAAATAAAATCAAAAGCAACATCCCAAAATAAATCAAGTAAAAACAAAATAAATAAATGAAACAAAACAAAAGCCAAAGAAACCTAATCCACAGCACAGAAAACATCTAGCATGAAATATTTCATCCTACGTAATTCTGTCAATATCTTAATTTTATAACGTGCAATATTAGGCAACCTTTAAGATGGACCGTGCTACCCAGCCTCCAAGCAACAGCAATCCTTACAAGTTTTGACTTTGGGAAGAACATATTTATTATTTATTATGTGTTACAGAGTCAGTCCTGCCCTGCCTGATGATCTTTTAGGACCTTGATCTGTGAGCAGTTCCACTGAGTTCAGAAGGCTGGATTGGAAAATTCAGTGATGCTATCTTTGAGGGCTATAAGGGAATCAAAATAAAAATAGCTTCTTTTCCAGACAATTCTTTTTCAGACTAAATAAGCAAATATGAAGCAGCAAAATTCAAGGAAAAGAAAAACTTTACAAGGTTTTGGCAATGTTTGGTACAATTTTATGTTTTGTAATAATTAATAATCTATTTATCAGGGATTCATATTACCTTACTTTCCTTGAATTCCAGTTAGTCCTTACATTATGCATAATCCACATGAGCTCTCTCCTCTCTCAAAATTTCTGGCACAAATATGAGCCTCTTTGGTAAGGACTCATATGGTTATGAATGTCTGGACGGCCTGAGTAATGAAAGGCCATTTGGGGCTGAACCATTGACCACAGATTTAACTTGCCAGGAAGAATAAAGCATAAAATGTAAATTAGGTACCAATAACCCATTTTCCTTCTGAATCCTCTGTACAGATATGCAGCAAGAAGTGCAGATTATGTTTGGAGAGAGATTTTGGAATAATCTGCAGTTAAAAATATTGTATGGGACCTTGCGCTGTGGCCTCAGAAGAGACTGAATTGTGAGTTGCTGCTGCTGCCCTTGAACCCACTTCAGTCAATGGAAAGTTTCATTGGCACCTGAATTTGTTGCTTTGGGTAGCTGCCTAGCTACCAGCTAAACCCAGCACATAATACTGTCATCAGGGGAAGAGGAATGTGCAGTCCAGCAAGCAAGACATGCATGGAAAAGTACGTTTCTCTCAGCATGTTTTGCAATCTCCATGCTACTCCCTCCCCATCTTCCTTTCCACTGATCTCATCTGTGAAGTCAAGAAGAAACTGTAGAAAGCAGCACTTGCAGGGCAAGATCATTTAACTGCCTGCTGAGTGCCCAATGTCAGCTCAAGTTAGCTTTGATATTCTTAGTGGGGCCATCCCATTACCAGAAAGAGATGTTCAGATTTGTTTGTCACTCATGGGATCCAAAGGTACTTGAGGTTGTATCAGTTCACACAGTGGATTTGGGACTGGAGCTATGGAGTTGCCTTCTGGTGGCGTGCAATTTCTTGGGAAACAAGACTACATGTTATTTAAGTCCCAACACAGTGTTTCTGTTGTGTTCAGAGCACACAAAATACTTGTTCTCCATGCGTGAACTCCAGTCTCCAGTGGCACTGTGTAAGAACGCCCAAGCCTTCAACTCCCCCCCAAGAAAGCCATTGTTCTTGCTCTTCTCACTGCAGCCCAGCTACGAGGAAATGACAAGTTTCCCGTTTCTCAGATAGGTCCAGGACCATCTAAAAATAACACCAGCTTCTTGAATTAATTATGTCCCAGGTAAAAATAAACCTGAAACACAAAATGGAATGCCCATGCCCTTGTCCCTGATGAGATCTATCATTTCTTCTCCACCTCATGGCATGCCTCTCTTTTAAGTGAAACCCCAAAGCTTGCTGCCTTTCAGTAGATCAGTATGTCTGACGTGGCTGATTAAACTCACTCTTCGACATCCAGCTCAGTAAGTTTGATCATTATTTGCACTTAGTAAATAAGATAATTCAATCAATAATTTTGTAAATGAAATAAATGTTCTCAGCCTGTAAAGAGGAAAGGCGTTAGCAAAACAGACTCCATGGAGGAAGAACTCTTTAATTCATGAATGCACTTAAGTAACAGATCCTCCACGCAGCCTCTTACAAGAGGAAGTCAGTGCTACTTAGCTGCTATGAAACTTACAGACAACAGAGCGGTGGATCACTGCTCCATCCTTGCAGAACTGCCTTGCTGGAACAGAGATCTGCCTGACAAATCTCCCAGAGGACAGCAAAGCAGAGAAAGCGAAGCCCTGCCTATTCGTTCACTCTTCCTGTTATTAATTTGCACTATTATTACTAATAAAGATTATTTTACTGTGCTAATGCCTAATTGTGACATGGAACCAAGGAGAGCATGGTGCTAGGCACTGAGTAAACACAGAAAAACAGGGCGTCCTGCTGCAGTGAATGGAAGGCTTTAGACAATATGAATAAATATCCATCCCTTCTGAAATCCTGTTGGAGCCTCCTTCCAAGTAATCTCGGGTTCAACCACTACTACTGATGCAGCAAAACAGAATCAAGATTGACTCTGGTAAAGACTCCCTAAAAACACACATTCTGGCAAAATAGAAACAGACTAAATAAGCCTCGTGAGGAAATACATATTTGTGAAACTGCCCTGATTTAAAAGATGTGTTTTCTGTCCCTCACCCTTCACACAGACCCAAGGCATGGTAACATGCTGGAGATACATCATGTGATAATTCAGGAACACTCACTAACTCTGTAGAGAAATCAGTGATAACACAAGAGTAAGCAAATAAACCTTGAGATTGTGAAGCAGAGCAAAAAAAAAATTAGAAAGAATCCACCATGATCTGGTCTGGTGCACGCTATCATTACCAACATGAGTTCATGATCCTGAGAGGACAGCTGATGTGCCTCACCACAGAGCAGTGCTTGGGGGCATATTCATTATTAGCAAAGTAGAAGCTCAACAGTTTGCTCTCCTATAACGATCCAACAGTGACACTCAGGTGAGCAGCAAATAAACATTCAGGCTGGAATTTGGCCAGGGCAGTAGACTGAATATTCTGCACTTAATGAGAAATGCCATACAAGCTGCAATGTCCAAGCAGAGCAGGAATGAGCTCAATTAAAAGATCTCATCTGAAAGTTCCCTACATAACAAGCTACAAAGACCAGCATTTACCAGCCCTGGGAAACATCAAGCGTCGAGTTGACTCTGACTGCAACTGCCAAATGTGGTATAGCACTTGGAGAACATTTACTGTGGATGAAAGCAAGTGAGTTTTGCCTTGGAGGGTCCTAGGTATGTCCCACAGGAAAAAAAACTGCAAAAGGTCTCTCTTCCTCCCTGCTGTTGGCCAGCTTCTCTTGTACGTACCATCATGCTCTCAAATGAACTCACTCATAATGTGATGACAACCTTCCCATTTTTTGGATGCCAGACTTTAAATGAAAGGAAATTAGGGTGTTTGGAAGGGTGTCACTTTATTCTCTGCCAAAGACCTGGAGAATTTTCTTTCTTTTTTTTTTTAGGAGCAGCCAAGCAGCTTTTGATCACACAGTCAACCCACTGAGCATGGCTGATTTGCCGTAAAACAAAACCAAACACATTTACTTCATAATTGTCTATTCCTTTTTCTCTTCCTACCCATACTTTTTTCCTTCTATTGTTCTATTCACTTTACATGCCCAGGCTCTACTTGTTCTGGCCTTGTATATCTCCCTCTCCCTATCTTTATTTTTCCTGCACATTACTTTCTCCTCCTCTCTCCCAATTTAACCTAGTCTAGTCTAACCTACCCTAATCTCACCTAACCTACTTTAATCTAATCTCTCCTCTTTCTTCCTTTGCTCTTATTTCCCTTTCATATTTCCTGTTCAAATAGAAAGTAGTTTGGCCACTTCCAACTTCAAATTTATGATTGTGTCTTACAGCAATTCACTAACAGAAATAACATGATATTTGAGATAAAAATGCCCAGCTTATCATGGCATTTCCTTCAGTTTTGTTGCTCCAACTCTACTGAATTCAGCAGAGTTGTGGTGAATGGAAAAACAAGATAATTGAACAGGCTTTTGGTTATTTTGGTTATTCAGCGTGACTGTCGGTACTCCAGACAGAGCCCCATGGGCATCTGCATGCTAGTGGAGACAAGCCTTGTGGGTGCCTGCTGTTACTCATGTAACCATATTCCCATCCTGTTCTATCTATAAATTCACAAGGACTCACTAAACTGTTTATTTTCCATTTATAACTGTTGAAAGTCTCTAACATGAGCTCTAATACTATTCTAAACGCCACTATCTGAAATTAGCAGTAAATCTCTCGTGCTGCTTAAGCTCAAGGAAGTTCACTGATCTTGAAGTTTGGTATCTAGACAACAATCTTCTTTAAATAGCTCGCCCAGAGATATAAGCTAAACAGAAAGGTCGTAGACTTGAAAAACCTTGAAGAAATAGCTTCAAGACACTCTCCAGGCAAGGTCAGTAACTCTGCCATAACACTGACTTTCTCAATACTTTTAATTCTCAGAGGAATATTAATATTAATTATCACAATCATGGTGAGGTATTCAGTAAAAACAAGAGTTTTCCTTCAGTCTGCCATAGCCCATAGCAGTATCAGTAGCCAAACAGATGTAGCTCCATATTGTACAAGGGAAGTTTCAATTTATCAGTGAAGTTGGAATGGAAAATATTAGGAGCATCTGGAGACACTATTCCACATCTGCTGAAGATAAAATATGTAATTGTATCAAGTGGGAAAACTCATAAGAAATATAGGATTTTCTCGTAAATGTTAGTAATTTACACTGAAATGTGCTTAGAACAGTTAGCTATATAAGTAATTCATTACTGCTGAGAGTAACACGCAGTTTTGACCGCACTGCTAAAGTCACAGCCTTGCCAGTGCCCCCAACAAAGTCCAGTCCCTGGTTATTGCAGGCTGCCGTTGTCAGACAACGCCGTCTCAGGAGAATTACCAAAAACTCTCCGTATGTTTCTCTAGTGGACACTGAACATCACTGTCACAGAGCACAGAACTGCTGAACGGCTTGTGTTGAAGGGGCCTTGGAGGTGATCTAGTTCAACCTACCCTCCTCTGAGGTTGTCAGAAAAAGCAGCGATTCACCAGACACAGAGCCGTGTTCACAGCTGTGCAGATCTGGGCAATGTGCACTGAAAGTTTGCCTATCTTGACAACATTGGACTGCTGCTAGCGCCTTCTTGTCCCTGTAGAGCTCTTCAGAAGTCACTGGGGTTGTGCCAGCTGGTGGGGCAGTGCAGAAGAACAAACTGCCCCTCTCCTCTGTAAGATCTTCTGCCTGCCATTAATGACTAAAACTGCTATCACGGAGCAGGCCATTCATCCTACCTGCATACAGGAAAAACTGACTGGCATTTTAACTCAGCTGAAGCATTCAGCAGTAGCCACATGATGAATTGTCATCTTAATCCTCCTGTTTGCCTGATGGGCTGCAAAGGCAAGGAAGCAGTGATGAATGTAACGGCAGCAACAAGATGTAGCCACGCTGATGATTTTTTTCCCCAACATTTATCAGCAAATCCAGATGTTTAGTGCTTGCAACTCTCCAGTTCATCAGTTTAAATGAAATAAAATGTTAATGCATATTTAGATGTTTGAATCACATTTGAGTCTCCATCATTCTTTTGGTTAGTTAGCAGCAGTCAGATAGGAAGCACTACTGAAGAATGTTCTGGACACACCATCTTTTTTTTTGGTCAGAGGTTCGTGTATTGGTTAAACATTATAGTATTGAGTCCTGCCTTATAATTCTAACCTACTTATTTTTGTTCAAAAAGAAAAACAAAACTTACTGATGGCAAAATGTAAATGCTGTAGAATGCATCTCCGTATATCCTGAATGAACACAGGATGCTAACCAGCATCTATTCCTATCCATTGTTGCTTTCTCTTTACCCTACTACCACCCTTTTCAAATGCGTTTTGTTTGCTAATGCAATATATGACAGAAAGGAGTTGGAGCGTCGATAACACTTTAACTGTTCTTTTCACTTCCTAACACTCCTTTGCAAAAGCAGTGCATTACACAGGAATGAACTGAAGCTATAAAATGATTAACTTCAGAGTATGACAATTTGTCTCTTTCTCAAAGGACCAGTCCTTTACCTTAAGAGCATTGCATACACATGATTTATTCTGATGTCTTCAGTTCTTTCTAAACAATTCAGCATGAAGCACCACAGCACAATCATCTTCGGTTTGGGTGAAGTCCTTCAGAAACATAAAGTACAACTGCTAGGTCTTAATAAGCCCATGCTGTCACCCTCTTCTGGTGATACCATGCACACCGCATCGAACTACCTGCAATTACACCTTGTGAAGTGCCCTGGACAAATAGTTTCTGTTCTTTTCCTGGGAGCTTCCATCAGTGCAAACCCAAAGTGCATGTTATGGTGCTTATTTTTCAATCCCTGCTGTGGGGTTTTTGATAGCATTTCCACGATTGCCTTAGTGTTCTATTACTCATCTCAGCCCCATACTGCCTCAGTTTTTATAAGCACTTTGCATTGCCTTGCATTAGAGTATGATCTTCTACCATGGCAGTAGCTCTGCAGCTCTCACACTCTTTGACCCAATCTGTTTGAGTCTAGGTCTAAATATGACCTGGAGGCCACATTCCTTGTGCTGACTGATAACCTCCTCCTGGCCACAGATAACTATTCGTCCACTGCAGTCATTTCAGATAGGTCAGTTCTATTTAGTCCTTCACACTGACCACACGGCCTTCCTTTTCTTCATGACTGAAGCTGCAGAACAATGCCAAACAGAGATTCTCTGACTCCAGGGATTTCTATGGAGGATCCACATCACTGCTAGCTCTCTTGAACATTTAAGAGTTTTGATGGGACGGAAAGTTCATCAGGACAAGACAGATGGGGGTGGTTTTGTCCCACAGGTTCAGGGCTGAGTGGGATTAGCTGAGAGGCTTTCCATTTATCATAGACTCATAGAATGGCCTGGGTTGAAAAGGACCACAACGACCATCTGGTCCAACCCCCTGCTGTGTGCAGGGTCACCAACCAGCAGCCCAGGCTGCTCAGAGCCACATCCAGCCTGGCCTCGAATGCCTCCAGGGATGGGGCATCCACAGCCTCCTTGGGCAACCTGTTCCAGTGCTTCACCACCCTCTGGGTGAAAAACTTCCTCTTAATGTCCAACCTGAACCTCCCCTGTCTCAGTTCAAAACCATTCTCTCTTGCCCTATAGCTATCCACCATGGTAAGCAGCCGTTCTCCCTCCTGTTTATACGCTCCCTTCAAGTA